CGCATGCGCTGTCGGTGGCTGGGATCCCGAGTACTTGGCAGAGGAGCAACACCGCTGTTGCGCCAAACATCTGCCCCGCGAGATCTTCGGAGTTCGATGTTGAACGGTTCGGTCGAGACTGCAGCGAGATTCGAAGCCTCGACGGCAGGCGTCATTAAAGCAGGCAGCCTGTCAGCTCTGTCATGCAGAGGCAATGCCTGCTGTTTGTTGTGCCGGTCCCTGCTAAAGAGACCAAAGCACAGTGCGACCAGGACTGGCACATGTTCGCCAAGTGCAGCCTCAAGACAATGGGCAGGGCCAAGTCCGGGTTCCCAGACCGCCAGACTGGATCTTGGATCTTCGGCTGCGACCGTCACAATATGCCAAGATGCCCACAGGCTACAAGTTGCTTAGGGGGCTGGACATTGTCTTCGAAGGGATTGCAGCAGCTGCCGTTGGCATGATGCTTCTTCCCTGTTAGCTCGGAGTCGCTCGTTCGGTGCCGGATTGGCTTTGTGCCTTGTCGCAACTTGTGTCGGGTGGAGGGCTTTCCTCCCCCCTCAAACCTTCTTGCGAACGTTGCTTCTCGAAGGATCCTGGAACAATAGCGGTGGTGGTTATTTGGTCCAAACCCGCAGCATTCTAAGGTGTGTGCCGATTTTCCTTCCCGTCCTCAATTACACGCCTGAAGAGGATACGTCTGGACCTCATCACCGAATCCTGATTGCAGAAGTTGTCGTGTTACCAGACCGAGTTGCATTCCGTTCGCACTTCCAAACATGGCTGCTGAACTAGCGCTCTTGACTGCATCGAAGAAGCCAATCGGTGCATGCGGACAGAAACCTTTACCGAAGTGCAGCGATTCTACGCTTGAAGAACACGGCTCGCCAGGTATTGCTCGACGCTCTGGAGCCGATGGACACAGGCACAGCCTGCACAGTCCGCTTCAGACCCTAAAAGCCTAAGAGCATCTGCGACCTGCCTCCAGGCGAAGCGACATGCCTTGGGAGTCAGCGAAGTCGTGTACGTCGGAGCCTCGAAGTCGGGATCCGACGCTCGAAAGGCTCAAGGTGCAGATGCTGTGCTCTGTGGAGCCAGAAAGTTTGGGGCATGGCATGGTCGGTTGCAACTCAGGGACGGGCTTTCCCAAACTGTCTAGTTTCACCCGACATTGAAGCTCTTATGACTCCGAAAAGGCGACTCATCTGATGATGGTCCGATGTGTGCACTGTTCTCGTGCAGAAGCGAGATGTCTCAGTCGTCAGCGGGGTCCCAACTCATACCTGCGAAGACACGTGCTGTCACGGATCTGAGGTGCTTTCTTTCTCCTTCCTAGCATTGCTGGAGCTTCGATCCTGCAGGCCTGGAAGTTCTCGCTACTCTGACATGTCTGGCCGTCATAAAACTCTATGACTCCTGTTGTTAAACTTCTCAGTGGCTGGCTGATGGAGATTCGGTGTCAGGGACGCGTCACATGCATCTCCCAGCATTGCCAGGCAGGCTTTGGTCTTCCTGTGGCGATTGCTGCCACTGTTGGCCAAGTTTGCCCAGGCTCACGAGATGTGTGTTCAGGGCCTGGCGGCCAGGGCCAGGACGACTTGTAACAGTGTATATGGACGATACTCTATTCGTAAAGGGCCTCTAATTCTCCAAGTAGGTCCAGTTGTTGGCAGCAAACGGAGCTGAGATTAAGACGGCTCTCTAAAGCTCAATCCGTCCAGATCCAAACAAGTCCTGCGAAGGGGTCGCCTAACAGGGCTGCAGCAAACATGCCCGACTCGGGAGCGTGGTCGCCGGGCTTGGAGACAGCCCCGTGATTTGTACATGCTCTTCTTCGCCACATCGTGGCATCTGCAGGGTCCGGTTCGGAACAATACACTGTAACGCAGGCTTGAGAAGGTGCGGGGGCTGGATCCTCCAAGTGATGCAACTTGTAGCCTAATTGAGCCGCTAGCACTGCGCGCGCTCTGGCTAGTTTGCCGGATAGGCACCGAAGCTGCTGAAGCATCAAACAACCACTGTAAAGTGAAGCCAACCACACCGCATGATCTCAAGTGTGCATTCCGGACAGACCCACTTCGTGAATGGTGTCGCGGCCGTCTGGAATGTCATGGCACAGATTGTCATCCACTTCTACATGTTCGGGTGCGCCCTCGCTCCGTAGAGAACAGTGGAGTTAGAGTTGGAACCAGGTTGCACAACATCGTATCCTAAGCCTTCCTTAGATTGCAAAGTCTTTTGCAAGGCCAGTGCTTGGGGGCCAGGGTTGTGACGGCACATGTTTTGCGACATTGTACCCGTATGTCCAAAGATAGAACAGCTCTCAAGATCATGGGCCAACTGTCCTGCAAGCAGGGATCGTTCCATCTGCTTCATGCACAGAGAGAGTGTCCAGCTGCAAAAGATTGAGCATCACGCAGCTTCTGCCCACGACATAGATGTCAGTCTAGTCGAGAGACTTGACTTCATGGCCTGTTCTTGCGGGGTGGATTCATGGAGTGGAAGATGAGAACAAGCATTTTCCAGGGTCTCTTGACAGATTGCTCAAACAGGTCCTGGTGTGACCTGCAGCTCTTCGCCACTCCCCAGTCACTCGGCGCTCAGCTTTGAGATGTGTTGAGTTCAAAACCTTCAGCCGGCAAGATGGCAAAGCCAAAAGAACAGAGTCGAGCTGCTAGGACGTCATGCAGGGGTGATCCGAAGAATGCACGATGACTGTTCTCGCCTCCCGGGCAAGCATGACATGATCTTGCACCGGTAAGACTTGTTTGCGGTTGGTAAGTAGCACAGTACTTCAGGAAGTTGGGGGCCTTGGGCTTTATGTTTGAAGAGCGTCAAGCCGCTATTTACATCATTCACCTGGCACCACTCGGTGATTGCTCGTGCTGCTTGTCGGTTGCACTTCTCCAGGATGTGTCCCCTCGGTGCCTGGAGTACGGCGGACCTAACACAGGAGCAAGTACTCCGGTGTCGGCCTCAGTTTGGAGTTGGCGATGGTGCATGTGTGGCACTCCGGCGCGCCAGCTTGCAGCAACTGAGAAGCTTTGGGCTGATAGCACGAACGTTTCAAGCATTCTTAACGGTGCCCCCTGCGGAAGCCCAGCATCAAGTTGGGCGATATGCTTGTAGCTGGTTGCCAAAAGCTCCGAGAACTATGCCACACAGCTCCTTTTAGGAATAGTCTCCTGGTCTTCCTGCAGCAACGTGGAACGGCCCTGATGGCGCCGGAGCCTCATGCTATTCCAGCACGTCAGCTTCTGACTATCGAAACCGCACAGACGTGCGGATTGGCATGTCTTGGTTTAACTGTGCGAAAGCCGTGGCCACGTGGGAACAAGCGTACTAAAAACAGAGCTGGGATGGCGGTGTTCAGAGTCAGCTGTTGCCTCGTGGCTTCGCCATCGGCTGCTTCGAAGGTGGGATTCACCACGTGTCGCCCTGCTGAGGTTCGCCAGCATCTTGTCGGGCGGCCTGGGAGCCATCTATTTTCACATGGTGAAGGCACGGGGCACCTCCCGACACATAGTGTCCTAATCTTGCAGAGAGTGAGATGGCACACACGACACCAAGCAGATGCTTTGCATTGACATCCGAATCCCGCGGCCTCCATGACCTTGGCCATTCTTTGTTGTGTGCCTCATGCCGGTGAGGATCGTGTGGAGGGCAATGTGGATGAACACTGGAAGATGAGGAACTTGCCGTTGATGTGCTTCTGGCAAGTTGTTATGTGTCCACCGTGCACTCTCCAAAGCTTCAGTCCGGTACCCTTAGTGCCCTCCTTCCAGGTGGTTGATCATCGAATTGGAGGTCTCCCTTTGCGGCCTGGTGCAGTCCTTCATCTTCGGTGCCCTTCCGCCCGGGCCGTAATCCGGGCATCGGTTTAGGGTTTATAGCGGCTTATAGGGCTTCCCCATTCCTCTCCAATTGCTGACCGGCCCAGGCTTTGGATCGCATGCATACGGATCATGTCCAGTGTCAGGCCAGCTGTGTCAGAGGAAGAGTCATCTTCAGCCTCATGTGCCGAGAGCATGGATCCTGCTTGGGCATGTTGGGCAACCCGTTCTTGAGTCTCCGGATTAATGCTTTGTCGCCAGGTTCTCGCACGTCGCTGCAGGTATGGCCAGATGCTGAGAAGGAAGTGTCGGAGGATGTGTCGGTGTTCGGCTCCAGCTGAGGTCGGCCGAAGCACTGGCGAAGTTTCGGTGCTCTAGACGCCATGTTGGGATCGTTGTAGCTCAGTTCCATGAGATGGCTATCTGAGACATATCAGTCATCCCAGCGTTGTCCGGCATGTTTCACCAGAAGGCGAACATCGCGGCATGATAGCGTCGCTTGCAATTCAATCCTGCAGCCAGCTGACGCAGCATGTGCCTTTCGGGGGTTTAAGAGGTGTTACGTGCATTTTGCTTATCTTGTGGCTGCTTTCGTGGCATTGAGACGATGACGGCTGAAGCACTTAGAATGCCTTGAAACTTGAAAACTGCTGCAAAGCACATGCTTCGCTCTCCAGTGGCTTGGATTGGCTCCCCTCCGTAGGTTGTAAGAGCGCTCCTGGAGCCGAAGAGCCGGGCGGGTTGCGTCGGTCAGTAACCAGGAGAAGCGATCCTTTATTTAACCATCGTATAATTATAACATTATATAACTGTAGAATTGTATAATTATACAACTATATAATAATATATCGTCTAAGGAGTCTGCGGCTCCAGCCTTGAGAAGCCAGTTCTCGGCAATGTCTTTCGCTGCCAGAAGGGGACCTGGGCACTCCGCAAAGGATCACGGACTTTGACAGCTAGAGTCTGGGAGGAGTTTTCCAATCGCCAGATTGGGGCCATATACTCAGCCTGAACTGAGATCCTTGCTGTCCTGCCCCACGGAATATGTAGCCGTGCTCTTCATGAAGCTGGAGAGTGTTTGGACCGCTGAGCCAATGCCTTTAAGCTGTGGAAGGAGCTGCTTCCGTTAACATCTGCGCCAAAAAGCCAGAGCCACAAAAGCGCTCAGCTTTAGCTCGTCACATCCAGGCACGGGGTCATTTGCTCGCTGCAGGAATACCCTGTCGACTTCGATTCCTCGTGGGCGCAGGGCCGAAAGGCTTGGGAGGCGCCGAATGCGTCCTTGGCAAAGCTACAGACACTTCTTCAGATGTCCATCAGTCTGGTTTATGTTGCGGAATGCGCCGATATTCACAGGGATACTTTGAGACTTCGTGTTGGCAACATGCACCGAGCATGAATACATACTGCAGGCAAAGTCCAGATCGTGTCCTTCCATCTCGTGTGATCACTATGCTGATCATTGCCAGCATATGACAGTCAGCGCTGCAACAAGAGCACACCATTTCTATGGCAGGCCTTCTCTCAAAGTCCGCTCGTAGAATCCAGTTATTCCCCGAAGCGGAGCAAAGCGGAGGTGTGGCTGGCGGCGTTTGACGCCTGGGACCACGAGCGGAAACGGCTGTGTGAGGCTCCCTTGATTTTGCCTGATGTGAACAGACGCGTGCTGAACAGCTGTGGACACTAACATAACACTTCAGAAGTCGACTGAAGTCGTTTCACCGGAACGGCGGTTCCTTGCTTTTCTTCAGGTGTACCTTCGCCTCGGTGAGGATAAGGATGCCGCAGAGGCTGCGGAGCTCGCCCGGGGAAAGCCGAGGGCTCGGAGACAAACACACACGTGCCGCTTGGGAGCTCTCGGGATCAACCTGGGAATGAGGGAACCCGGTGATTTTCTTTCTTGCTGTAGCTGCTTTTTTTTGCTGTTTGTGCGCAAACCCAGGAAGCCAGTGAATGAGCGAGCCCCGGCCTCCGGCACGACAGCAAGAAAAAACACGCGTTTCGGGAACGACAGCAAAAAGAAACAAGGTCTTAGCCTGGGAGTGAGGGTCGAATGTCAGCCGTTTTGTCCGTGTTGGAGCTACAGCTCCTGCTATTGCGATACAGTGACTTCTCCAGATAGCGGTGAGTGTTCCTTGCTAGCTATGGAATACTCACACTTGTGGAGAGTGAGTGGGAGCGGAGGTCTTCGCACCCAGCGCTTCCAATCTTCGAACTAATTTCTTACACCATTCGGCTGCCTTGTCGGAACCAGGTTGACTCCCCCAAAAGAACATTTTGTGGAATTCCAAGTCTTAATCTTCGGCTACAGCTGCTTTTAGCAAAACTGTCCTCGAAGAAGTCAGGTTTCCCAAAGCGCCGAGCATGCCCGAGTCCGTGGTTGCCTTGTGCGGGCCTTGAACATTACAGATCTCGGACGAAGCCTGAGAACATAAGAAGACTCGCGGCTGCAGCTTGCAGTTTTTTAGCCACTCGCATCGATGCAAGTTGCGCAGAGAGCTGTTGTATTTGGTGAGCGGATGTTAGCCCAAAGTCACGAGCCTAGAATCTCTCTCCTCATGCGAAGCAGTCTTGAATCTACAGGAGTCAGAACGCTCCATCTGAGTTTGAAGCCTTGGTATGGCTTTGAGTTTCCGGCATCGTCTACACAAACCAGAACAGCATTCAAGCCGCGCTCTCTCAGCCTATGGCTTGGAGGTACCAGGCCGCGTACGACGGCGATGTCGTGGCGCTGGCGGATATGCTAGAGGACATGTTCTACTTGTACTTGCCATGTACCTTGTCAGATGAACGGTTTCAGGTGCACAGCGTAGTGTCGCAGATGACAGGGGACGAAATTGCAACACCAGACACAGCGCACATCAGGAAGATCTGCACTGTCACTGAGTCACTGTTGTCTTTCAGGATGAAGAGATTGACATTTGCTGCAAAGACCATAACTTGCAGCCGCGACCTTTGTTTGACACGACGATTTTGGAGCTGCCACATCCTGTCTCTGTAGGTGCATGGATGGAAGGAACCCGGTGTGGACAGGAACTATTCCTTCAGGGTCAGCAGTGCCCATTCTGGCTTTGGTCCCAAGGACACCTTTGATGTTCGCCGCAGTCAGTGGCAGCTTGGAGTGTGTGCCTGACCTCAATGCACCGAGAATTCAGTATTGTGCCCATCTGTCGGCCTAGACAGTGCCTCATTCTACCTAGCAAATCAAGGGCTGCCACTGGCAGAGCGATGCAACGGGAGAAGTGACATGCACAGTGGGACCGAGATGGAGGAAACTGGGAGTTGCTTCACACCGCGTCCTCGTTTTGTGCTCTTCCCTTTCGCGGCCACCCTGTTTTTCACAGTGCAGGAAGGTTGTCAGTTCTTGCTGGTAATGCTTGCATTCAGGCAAACATCCCGCTATTCTGCACCATGATGTTTTCCCCCTGCAATTCTTCTGCTGTTTGTCACGCACTCCGGTTGTCACCAGCGTCCTTGTCCATATCTTTCTCTCTCAGTCTTATGCTTTGTTGCGCCACTGTGTATTTTCCTGTATGTCAAGGTTACCTAGAGCCCAAGCGGCATTGCGCACAGCTGTAGGTGGTAACATATATGGCTGCCTTCGGCTGTCTGAGAACCGCACAGACAAAACGACGGAGACCCGAGGTGGAGTACTTGGTGGACATGGGTGCTGATATTGCTGCAGTCGACAATACAGAGGAGCTTGCTGCATTTCACAGGTCAAGTTTGGCAACACCAGGAGATGTGGCTTCATCGGACTTTCCTTGGCTTTGCAGGCAGAGGACAAGCCTGCGCATGCATCGCCTCTGCAGGAGACGGCGCTTGATCTTGCTCTTGCGCGGCATGGTGAAAAGCCTGGATCACAGCAGAGAAGCCATTTGTGGCTGAAGATGTTGAGGCTTCAAGGCTTCACGTAAGAAAATTGATACCAGATGTGAAGCCAAGGTCCCCGCAACATCCGGTGATCTTGTACCTCCACTCAGCACCAGACTCAGGCGAGAGGAGCGCCAAGGCCAAGATTGTTACTGCCCCGAGGCAGCTTTGTTAGATGACTTTGTCGACTAGAAGCAAGAATTCTAGGAATGAAGAAACAAGACTGCCTGCCTGAGGTGAAGGCTCCCAGAGGCCCAGGAAAGAAGTCGAGGCCTTACACTTGATGTTCAGAGCCTTGAGCCCGGGGAAGAGTCAGAGCCTGTTCAGGGCCTCCTTAGCCAACAAAAATCGAAATCGAAGTGTGGGCAATCCACTACCAACTTGAGCACGACGGCGTGAGGATGCACCGAAAACTTGAGACGTGCCAATGTAACAGCTCAGCTTTGTCGCCGAAGCATGACAGCGAACTGTTCTTGTCATCCGCGCTGCACATTCGATACAGGTAGTACAGGTAGGAACCAAGAACCGAGAGTAAGATCTTTGCAGTCCACATGAGAAGGAGTAAATTGCCCGCGTCATCACCCCGCCTACAAACCCTACTGCCCCTACTATGTCTGGCAAGCAACCCCAGCAAGTCTGTGTCCGCTGGTCTTTACATCCCCGTAATGCATATGTTCCTCGGTTTCCAGGAGTCAGCCATTCTAGAGGCTGGTATCTTGGAGAAGGAGACCCGACAATCATTAAGTTCTCGAATCCCGATAACATACTCCTTGCACGACAATTCCAAATCCGAACTATTCAAGCCTCTACAACATTGAGCTGCAGCGTGTGCAGGTAGATCCCCCCGAGAAGTGCAATCGGAAGGTGCAGAACTAATCAGGCACCACACGATTGCAGGCTGATCGCATCATGCAGGCAAGAAAGGGCAATTACTGCTGCATGCTATTTGGGCAGCAGCCCTGGATTGCCGAGCACTCGCAGACTGCTTGTTTGTGCACGGACAGCTCGCAGATTCCGGGAGCCACGACAGCCGAGAAGCCAGCACGAATTATACGATAGATCATATGGCTAAACGAAAGTACGTCCAAATCGAATGGCACCGCGTGAATCTCAAAGACCGAGCAAGCTCTCAGCAAGCTTCAAGCCACACTGTTGGCTTCGCTGATGACTCGTGCGAACTCTTCCTAGCGCTGCAGGAGATCCCCCGAAAACAGTTGCGTGAAAGTGACGCTCGAAGACCGCCCCAAGTCATGACAGCCGGCGGAGATTTGAATCTTGCGGCAGGTATTGAGTGCACCGGAGCTGCACATTGCAGCTTTTGTGTCTTCGTGCGTGATCAGAGTCTTCTCTCACCCCTTCCAGACCTCAACTTCTCCTTGCCCCGTGAATGTTCCTACTTCTTTCAAACCAGCTGCATAGGGGGAGCGAGAGGTAACAGAAGAGCAACGTACATCTCGCTCATCAAAGGTCAAAAGCTTTATACCTTGCAGAAAGTTCACTCAGCCTAGCCATGGCGCGGCCCAGCCTGCGCCGAAGAGGGCAAGGCACACCTGCCTTTTTTTCTGCGACAGTATGCAAACGGTGCTGGCCACTTCTTTCACATAAGATCTCGGAGGTGGCCTGCTGCTGGCCTTGCCACGTCCTCGGAACTGACGGGCTTCGCTCCGCTTCGCCAGTCGTCGAGTCGTCGCCCGGCCCAGGCTCCTTCTCTCCTTGCGAGCCTTGTCCTTTGTGGCCCCCCAGGCCGGCGAGACCTCGCAGCGAAGCCAGAGGAAGCCAGTAACAGGTAGTAGGTTTGATACTCTCCGCAGAGGCATGGTTCTAGTTCTAGAGTTCGAGAGACGAGACAAGATGCATCAGGCAAAGCAGACCTACCAATGCAAAGACCCAATCTTGACTTGCGGCTAAGTGCACTTTGATGAGTTTGGGGTTGGAAAACGGCCCCTGCGTTTTGCTAGTCTTACGAGTAGACCCGGTCCATTCCCAAACCATCCAACTCGAGAAACACACCGAAAACAAAAGACACCACCAAACAAAGCAACACCAAAATCACAAAGGAGATCCAAAACCAAAGACAATAACAATAATGCCCATAACGGAGCAAAAACAACATCCCGGAGGAGATCCAAAACCAAAGACACCAGCAAAAAAACAAAGACCCAACGAACAGCACCAAAATCCCGGAGGAGATCCAAAGCAAAAAATGAATGAACCAACAACACGTACTCTCAGATCCAAACCCAATGGCAAAGAAACATGGTGTTTTGTTTGTTGATGCTGCATCTCCTCCAGGATATTGTTCTTGCTTTGGCGTCTTTGTTGTTTTGCTGTTTGGATCTCCTCCGGGATTTGTGTTTTTTTTGTTTTTTCTGGTGTTGGTTTCTTTGGTGTTGTTGGTTCTTTTGGTTTCTCTGGTGTTGGTTCTCCTGTGGGATATTGTTTGTGCTTGTTTTTGTTGTGGTTTCTTTGGTTTGGATTTCCTCCTGGCTTTTGAGTTTTTGGCAGTGGCGCGGAGTGAGGCCGCCGGGGAGTGCTAATACTAGCACCGGCAGGATCTAGTGAGCTTTTTTCGCCATTCATGTCATTGGTTTGCAACGTAGAGGAACTATCCGCGAAATCGAACAAGCCAAATGAGCGAACGAGACCAGGAGCACCGTAATTATGCTGTGTTTAAAAAAGGGAGCGGAGAGAACCTGCTTGTTTGATTTGGGTTTATTCAGCACAAGGAAACGGAGTGCAAGCATGACTTCACTAAGCGAACGAAGCAAGGAGCCAAACTGTGCTATCTACTTCTATTTTACTGTGGTGTGAAGAGCATGACGACCTGAAGACAGAAACCCAAAAGGTACATGTATATGTGTTGGGCCTTTTGGCACAAGGCTACGATTGACGAGCAAGCTAAATGAAATTATCCAAAGCAGGGATCTTCGAAATCTCCGGAACATTGATATCAGTCCTTAGCGTAACGGAACTGAGGACTGTATCTGCAAAGAACCAGTACTTTTATACCATTAAACATTGCATTGCATACCTTCCTACGATATGTTTTCAATGATGCCTGGCTTAAATTGTTTTTAGTGCTCTTGTTTCAAGGGTCTCAAGAAGTGGCATATCTCTTCTGCTTTCATGTATTTTACTTAACCCTTTCCATAATTTAATAATAGTAATTTGGAGGTGGTGCAGGATGAACAGATACTCCATCAGTATCCACTTCCTCTACGACTTGACGGCTTTCAAGCACAGGACATCTTATATTGGATTGGTTGATCCACAATTCTACACCCAATTTATGACTTTATCAAATTGAAGTTTTGAAGCACAGCAAACCTAATATTTAGATTGTTCGTCTGTGGTGCCTGTGCTGCGCCTTGTTTAGTAACACAACAAAAAAGCACGGAGCTTAATTCGTGAAGTGTCAGCTCGCTTTACATCTAAACCAGAAGCATCCCCAAGAACACAACCTTGAATGGCTGTGTAGAGCTAGGTGGTTTGCGCTTTGATTACCTTTTCCTCATTGATAACGTCAGCTTCTTACACTGTTAGCAGCCGTAAGACAGCCGATGTCTAATCGTAAATAACCAGCAAAACGCAAAGGTCGCTTTAAACCGACCTCTAAGCACTTTGAGGATTTGCAAAACTCGTCTCGGAGTGGATTTGAAGTCTGCAGGCCAGCACGCGACCGAGACGTAGCCCCGGCCCTCGCCTCGACCACCTCGGGACAGGAAGTGGGAGCTGGATCTGAAAGGAAAAGCCTCTGCTTTAAGGACACTCCGGCGTTGCCGTGCTGAGCACCTCTGCTGCGCAGGCATTGCTCTCATTGCGGTCACGGCACACGAGCGAAGAGAACATGAGACCTTGCATTGGTCACGTCAGGAAGAGGTGAAGCCCAGCACAGAGGCCGGAGAATCGCATCTGGTGGCCAGTCTGCAAGGCTTCCAGGCGGAGGAGACCTCTTGCCAGCACTGGGACTTCTTTCTGAACCTGCAGGTGAAGACACCCTCGGAGGAGTTGGAGGCTAAAGAGGACGGAGCGAGACGGATCAGACTCGGACATGCAAACAGTCTGCGAGTTTTTGTTACCAGCAGAGGTCCTTTCATCACGAATACAAGACCGCAAGCCGGGCTCACCCCTGCCTTCAGGAGGAGGAGGCAGAGGTCCAGAAGACCGAAGCTGAAGATAGCGCGGGCCCTGCAACACAATGAAAAAAGTATAACATGACAGTGCCATGGTAGATGATGTTAAAGAAGTAGCTGTTGTCGCCTTGAGACGTTGAGCCTTTGTTGCCTCCTCCGTTGGTTCACCCTTCCGTTCACAAGTCTTCAGGGGCTCGTGGGCCACATGGAGAATTGATGAGAATTGGGTAGGTAGGCTTCCGATAAGCACTGGATCAGCTGCACTCTCACACGGTATATGCTCGAAACTGCGTTGAAACCGAAGCCAAAACCTTTTCGGCAGACTTCAGTGCGAAGGGTATGATGTGGAACTTGTCTGTGTTGTCAACATTTCAGTCACCAGGCGGTCAGGCCAGGATGAGGAGTTGATGTAGGTGTATGTATGTACATGTATACCTTATTGTACATGTGCGGCCAGCTTTGACAGACGCAGATGTCCTTCGTCTGCGCAAAAATCTGTATGCATGCTGCACCACATTGTATGGTATGTAGTATGACTTTCCGCCTGGCTGTGAGGCACGGCGGAGATCGCGGAATGGAAACCACTGGAGGACTGCAGCGCAAAGCACAAAGCCAACACTAGATTCTGACATAGTATATAGCATGGTCTATCCAGTACAACAACGACAGCAGTACTGCAACAGTATGACGATGTCACAAGAAGGTACTTGCAGAATCATAGGTCCTGACATGTGATTTACTGTGCCATGCTGTTGCTGCTGTTGTTGCATTGTTGATGGTGTTAGTTGACACTGTACGTGCTCGGGTTCGTTGTCGGTACTTTTGCTGTTGCTGCTGCTTCTGCTGCTGCTGCTGCTGCTGCTTCTGCTTTACTCGTGGCAACAGCATTATTCTGGGTAGGAGTTCATGCAGCGCTGGAGCCGCCTTCAGCCATCTGCTAAATAATTTATGAGAGTTCACTACAACAGCTTAGCTGCAAGAACGCCACGTAGCCAAAGACTTGTGTAACCAGCACAAAACGTGTACATATATATATATATATCTACATACCGCTTGCTGAGAAGCTCGTAGCGGCAAGTCCGACCGTTCTGTGGGCACTTCGACAACACTGGATGTGAATCGGTATGTTTGCGGAATAAAAAGAAATCTAG